TACAGAACTTGAGTGAGAACCAAGTGACTCAACCCCTGGGGACTGAAGTGCACAGCTTCTGAGCCCTAGCCCTCAGCCCTTTTACCCTTTCTTTTTCCTTTTTTTAATAAAAACCACTTTATTAAGGTACGATTGACATACAAAAGGCTGTACATATTTAATGTGTACAACTCAATGAGTTTGGAGATAAGTATATACTTAAGAAGCCATGACCATAATCTATGCCATAAACATGTCTATCACCTCCAAGTGTTTCCTCCTGTCCTCCTTAGTAGTTCTTTTTGTGATAAGAACACTTAATATCTACCCTCTCAGCAACATTTTAAGTCTACAATACAGGGCTATTCACTGCAGGCACTACCTTGTACAGATCTCAAGGTTTCGTTCAACCTGTACAATTGAAACTTTGTACCCTTTAACTATTCCTTCTCCACTTCCCCTGCCTTGGATGAATCTGAAGGGCAATATGGTGAGTGAATTAAGCCAGACTCAGAAAGACAAATACTATAGGAAACCACTTATATGAGGCATCAGAAAGAGTCAAATGCACAGAAGCAGAGAGCAGAATACTGATTGCCCTTGTCTCCTTTCTTGATACTCAGCCAAGGACAGAAAGAAAAGCCAGGCTCCCAGCAGCTATGTTGGCAGGGGCTTACTGGAGAGGCTTGATTTCTTCACCCTGGTTGTGTTACCCACTCTACACCCCCTCACTGATCCTCTCGAAGTTAAAGCAAGAAGATTCCACCATTTGAGCAAACACACAGACAAATAACCAAACCTGCCTAACCAGTGCAGAGATCCTCACTCTTGAACTTCCATTTCTTGCCTTCAAAGGTCTCTTGACAGCTGACCCCAGGGGACACACATTTTCAGATGAGTAGAAAATGGTGTTTTGTGGTGGTAAAGGAACATCTCCCATAGTCTCTAGTCAGTATTTGCCATTATTTTTATTTTACCCCCATTATTTTTCTCTAATCCCTTTCACTATTCATAGAGTATCTCAACCATACCTCATTGAATGTTTTTAAGCATTTTATTCTTTTTTGCAATAAAAAACTTCTATTGAACATATTTCCTTTAAATATATGTATTTTAAATATCGTACCATAAGTTCATTTTAAATTAGTTGTTAATAATAATCTTTATAGTAAAAAATAGTTTTGACAGTTTCCCATTTAATTAGTGCTATGCTTTTACATATACTTAAACTATATATGATAGTATATATAACTTACAGATAAATAATTCAAAATGATGTAGTGTTTGGTTAGGGAACTGGAAGGTATCAAAAATGTAGACCAAAGTTTAACCATGCACTGTTGCATTAAAAACTGCTTTCAAGATTTGGTGTTTGGAAGTTTAGCTAGCTCATTTATTTTTAGGACTTTTATATGTGTTTCTAAATGAAGAAATAAAAGATAAGGGCTCAAATTATGATTTACAAGCATATTTTCACAACTGCCATACTGCTGGGCTTGAAGGCTTGGTTCCTTCGATAATGAAAGGTAAAATTAGCCAGAATCATGAGTGTATTTTTTCTTTGCACATTGATTTTTTTTTTTTAAGTACTCTGGATAACTCAATGTTGAGTGAATTTTGATTGAATGAATGTGTAGATGTGGTGAAGATCAGTAAGAGGCAGGTTTGTGGAATAAGTTGCATCCTTCCTTAAATCACTGGCTGAATACAACTTTACATTAAACAATATCTGCTAGATCAATCCCACTGCATCTCCAGATCCACTATCTTTATTTCACATCTCATTGTAAAAAGTCGTCTTTCATGGGTTACGTCAACAGTGCCCCTCATGCTCTGGTTTCTACTAGATTTGGCCACTGGAGGTACTGAAGGTAAGTGAGGTTGGAGTATTTATTCCCCCAGTTGGTAGGTCACCTGGGCTGGCTAAGTGTTGTGACTAAAAGTTACAGCTCCTGTGGGGGGGTTCTTCCATGTCCTCACCTCTTCAGAGTTGACTTGACCATGGCTCTTTTTTTTTTTAAATTTTTTTTTTATTAACATATAATGTATTATTAGCCCCAGGGGTACAGGTCCGTGAATCGCCAGGGTTACACGCTTCACAGCACTCACCATAGCACACAACCTCCCCAATGTCCATAACCCAACCACCCTCTCCCTCCCCCTCTCCCCCCAGCAACCCTGAGTTTGTTTTGTGAGATTAAGAGTCTCTTATGGTTTATCTCCCTCCCAATCCCATCTTATTTCATTTATTCCTTTCCTATGCCCCAAGACCCCCACGTTGCCTCTCAACTTCCTTGACCATGGCTCTTGCTGACTTCTTCACTATCCCTTGGAGTTTCGCCATGCTCTACTCACACATTTTAAATATTCTTTCTATTAAACACTCATCAAATACATGATTTCAGTTTGAGTATGTTACCTCTTTTCTGCCTAAGCCCCAACTCTTATGTAATACAAGACAATGAATGAAATCAATGTGAAATTATATAATATTCATAAACATGGCAGCCTGTGGTAGTCAGCAAATGTTAAAGAAACTGAGCAACTGAATCATGAGCTCTCTCATCTGATATCTATCAAGTGTCACACACGCTCAGCCAAACACACGTTCAAGGCTCAAGAGAAAATCAATCCAAATATTTACTTGATTCTGACTTTTAAAAGCAGGAATTGAAACCACAACGTCTTTAACTATAAACACTCCCTAACAACCCCAAAAGTTTTCTAACTGCCAGTTGGAAAAAAAAGTTTTGCTGAGTGAAGTGATTATTTTTCACCCCATCCTTATGGGTAAATTATGAATAATGTATATGGGACATGTGTATAAGTGTGTGTTGGAGGGTGTGTGATGGTTTAGAATCCCTCAATGTGTAAGAATGCACAATCCTACTGATGAAAATTAAGTATAGAAGCAAAGTTTGAAATGAATTTGCAACCATTTAATCTATAAAATGGAAATAGAGCCACTAGCTTTCCTTTAATCCAGAGTATAAGCCAGGATCCAAAGAAGGATTATTTACTGTCCAGCAAGAGATACAGGGCTAAGATCATCCCATCCCATAACTGCTTGAGTCTCTGCAAATCCGTAAGCAGCTGGATTGGGATGAATATAGTAATACATTATTATGGGAACACTGTGTGAAAAGTTGGGATCACTGACTTCTCAGCTAATAGTTATGATGTGTAGAGAGCTGTGAGCACTCCAAGATTGCTGCCTGAGAACAGAGGAACCAAAGAAGACATAGTCACAGCAACAGAGTCCAGTTTTCCCCATTTGGTTGACCATGCCAACAGAACACAAAGCCAGAAAATGGAGCATAATGTGACAGTAGGGGATACCTGTCAGAAAATATGTTTATTGATTTTCTTTTAATAAAATTCCTCCAACTCTATTGTGGCTTAGAAGTTACTGGGGGAGTGCCAGCTACTAGGCTGTCCAGTGAAGATATGTTTGCAAGGCAAAGAGCTTGTTCGTCCAGATACTTCCTACCATTCCCATCTCTAACCTCAGAGCTGGCTGTGCCTAAATACATGTTTCTTCTATCACACACACACACACACACACACACACACACACACACACACACACACACACAAACACTCATGGGAAAGCTGAAGATAGTCTACAATCTACTAAGTAAGAGAAAGTCCCCAAGCCCCAATGAACACCAGAAAGAGTAGGGGAGATGGACCCGATGAAGGCAGGTCATGTAAGAGCAGAGGGCTACTCCCTTCTCCCTTACCATGTAGAATGCAGTACTCCCCCTTCCTCTTCCTCCTCATCTTTCTTTTACCTTCTTCCCCTTTCAACCTATTTCATCTGTCCTCTTTACAGGCCAGAAGGGAACCAACTAAAGGTCACCGTGAAGTGAGGAGATAACACCAGTTATAATGGAAGGCCATATCCTTGAAGAAGAGATAGGTAGCCTTCCAAAGAAAAACTTGGTAACAGGTGCTACAATATGGTATTTTCTTTCCAGCACCAGTCAAAACAGCATAATTCATGAAACTTTTTCCAAATCTCACTCACCCTCAACACTCCTACCTCAGAGAGCCAATATTTCCTTGCAACCCTCTATTGTCAAAAATGCTATGCTGGTCGGTCAGCTCATCCCAGTGCTTGATCCAAAAAAGTCATATGAATAAATAAATTAGGAATTAACTTAAGAGGAATATATTCTTTCAAATTGTCTTGCTTAACCCAACCAAAACTTCCCTTTACTGAGCCCCACTTACTATTGAGTAAAAACAAAAAACCAGAAAAACAAAAAAACTTTGTAGTGTGATTCACCACCAGTTTAACCTTCTCAGGGGGTCCTTATATTCCTAAAGTAGATCTTTGTACGATGAAAAAAGCCACAACCCAAATCTGTTGGCGTCAATAACATGTAGAATCTATGGAGTTTTATAGCATGTGGCCCAAGGAATCCACCCTTTCCCTCACCTTCCTTTTCCCAGTGGCCCTGCTCCCCAAGAGGCCTTTTACCAGTCACACTAAGAGAGAGAAAGAGTAGACACAATCAGCCACAAAATGAGGAGGCCACCTCCTTCCAGGACGGGATGGTGTCCTAAGAGAGCAACACATTTCGTGCTTCTGTGTTGTCCTTTCTCTGCTGAGTTCTGCTCAACGACAATAACGCGTCAGCGTTAAGTAGAGTGTCCCAACAACCCACAGATTTGCTGCTGCTGAGCGAGAAGTGTGACAGGCCAGGAGTCCTCAGAAAGGGCTTTTAGCAAAATAAGAAGTGTTATTTTCTTAACCATCCACAATGAAATTCACCATAACAGCGTATCCATCTCTCTTAAAACGTGCTCATACCTGGATTAAGACCCCTGCCTCTGGCAGTGAGTTCTACAACTAAAATACCTCTTGAGGAAAGGGACCTAGAGACAGAGGGCTTTTCAGAAAGGAGGAGATGTACTGAGCCCTGGATTCGGGGTAAGAGGACTCATCTACCGCAGGAGCTTACGAAAGCCCGGGGAGCCTCTCGAGATGGCTGTGGGGTGCCGGGGCCCCTTACCTTACCACACTGCTTACATTTTCCCTCCTGCCGACGCCGGTGTACCCAGTGATGACGCACAAAGTTCTGTGGGAAAACAACATTAAATGAGTAGGTTTCAATTTGCCAACCCTATTGCTATTCTTTTTTTCAAATGTTTTAAGCATATGGATTTCCATAAACCATAATCTCAGCCCCTATTAGCACAAAACCAAATATGTGCATGTGTGATTTAACAATAAATATGAATCCACTTGGAAAACTGAAGCTACCCCCATGCCCAATGATCTTCTGTATTTGTAGAAGCCACTCATCATGTCCTCCCTCCATGTCTCCCTTGTGGCCACCCGGTACCGCCATTATTACTCTGCTTCCTTCCTAGCGGAACACCGTGCAGACATGGGAGGTCACTGAAATCCCCCCGGGGAGGTAAAAAGGCGAGGGAGAGAAGATGGAGCAGCAATATCCATTTTTAAAAACAAATATGTATTTAATGCCTTATATAGGCCAGGCACCGAACATCCACATTAGGAGGAACTTAAAGAAATTAAGGTCTCAGGAAGAAACAGGTCTCCTCATTCCAGACATACAGGATGAGAATTTGTCACTAGTCAAAGGGAAGGGAAGGAAAAGTTGAAGGACAAAGATGACAGAGGCAAGAAACGTGGGCCCATCATGATGGCTGTGTGATGACGTTGTGTCTAAACTGTCCTCGGGCTCTAGTCTAAGTCTATTCTCATCTTGGATCATAGGAAACACAGAACTTCCTTTACCTCCCAAATAGTCAATCGCTCCTCAGAAAGGGAGTGAAGGAGCCCCATCACCACTGCTCTTAGGATATATCATAGGAGAGAAAGTTGTTTTTAGGCACAAATAAACTTATATATACAACTCATCCTTCTTAGACCAATATACATAAAATAATTCCTTTTTTTTTCCTTTGTTCTTTTCTGAAAAAGCACATTTTACCTGACACTAACATGTCTATCATCAGGCCACAGCCCATATTTTCCCTTTAAAAGGCCCTTTAATATGTAGCCAGTCATTCAGCAAATACTAGATGCCTACTACTTGCCAGGCCCTGTTGTAGGTATACAGCAAATAGATCAGTGTTGAAGAAAAAATGTTCTATCGACAAATGAAATTCAGAGTGACAAAAATACCTCGAACAAACATGAGCATTATCTAAAATGCCACCTCCATTTCTCTTTATAATGCCAAATCAATTCAAGTTAAAACTAAACAAAGATCCTAGAGGAATAATGGTCTTTAGCTATAATAAGATATAAAGAAGCATAATGGTCCCACTAATTAGTCTAAGTTTTGTCTTGCTTTTCCCACTGAGGCAGTTTAATAAAACAAGGACACAATTCTTATATTGTTCTCAGAAAGAAGCTAATTAATAATTTTTGAGTACTCACTATGTGTCAGGCACTTTAAAAAATGCTTTAAATGTAACAATTATTTTAATTTCCATGAGAATTTTTATGAGTAGAGCTGCTATTCAGTTGGTATGTACCTGAAAAATCCCATGAGTCATTAAAATACTGAAATATTTCTATACTGGTTGATAGATGAGTTTAGTTCCCCTACCCTCCTCCTGGCTCCTTCCTAACTGCCATAGCACTCCACCTCACCCCACCCCTTTAACACTGGAAATCATTTCTACCCCCTCATTATAAAGCCACTAGAATGTTCATTTTTGGCAGGTCTCTGGGATTCTGTTCCAATGAGTTCTTGTTCTTTTTTTTTTAAAAGATTTTATTTATTTATTTGACAGAGAGAGAGAGAAAGCGAGAGAGGGAACACAAGCCGGGGGAGTGGGAGAAGGGGAAGCAGGCTCCCTGCTGAGCAGAGAGCCCGATTGGGGGCTCAATCCCAGGATCCTGAGATCATGGCTTGAGCCGAAAGCAGAGGCTTAACCGACTGAGGCGCCCAGGCGCCCCAATGAGCTCTCTTTTGAAAACAAATCACATTGCCTGAGCAATGCCCCTGGGACTGCCCCCACCCCCACCCCCAGCACACTCAAAAGACTGGGCTATGCCCAACTGATGGTGGTTGTCCGTGTAAGTTTAAGTATCAGACAAACAATGCTGGGTCCCCTGGCCCGCTGTGGCTCTCAGAACAGTGGCAGCAAGTCAGGAACCTGCCACCTAATGGGGATGAAGTTGCTGGAAGCTGCACCTCTCTACCTCACAGGTGAGGCTGATCACGTTAGCCTTCCATCCACTCAGGTGACAAGAACTCTGCCCACTGCTGGCTTAAGAGTGGGGCTGGGGCGGACTGGGCCAGCTGTCAATTGTACCATGTCTCAATTCACAGCATTGTAGGGCCATGATCGGGGGTTTTGCTTGAATTATCACTATCATCCTCCTTTTAGAGATCAGAAAACTAAGGTATTGACTTAGTGACTTCGGATGTAAGGGTCAGAGCAAGGATTCAATCCCAACAGAGCCTAAGGTCTGAACCACTTTGTCGCTATGCCTTCCCTCTGCTCTGGAACCTTGGGATCAAGCTCCTTCAGGAAATGATTTCAATGACAGTCAGTAGTAGAAATACTGAATATACAAAAATGTCAGACAATACTATAAGAGAGAAAAATTTACTGTAATTGCTGTTAGTTTAGCAGAAACTGTGGGGAAATGAACAATGCACTGATGATAAGGGAAGTTCTCTGCATATGGAAACTGTAAATCACCTAATGACTATCAATTCGAGGAGGGAAATGTTGGAAGAATTTGATGCAACTGCCTATGAAATCAGGGCTGACTCATGGGGTTATTTAGCTAGTGACAGCTCTAATCAGAAGATTAAACCAACAATTTCCAGGAATCAACAATTATTTAGAAATTATAAGACTGACTTAATGAATCATTTATGTTGCAACACATGTCATTTGGTAAACAGATTGAGAATACCCTGTAGTTTAATCTGTTTAGGGAATGTAAAGGAATACGTTTAAAATGTTTATTTAAATATTACTGTATGACTCAGGAAGTTGTCAAATATTTTTATTATCATTCTTCCTAGAAATTGGGTCCTAGATCAAAGCACAGAGAAAGTAACTGAAACAAAAGCTCTCCTTGAGAAGACACTGAGTAACTGCCTTCCTTACGGAGCTCCGATTTGAGAGGTGAAGCATCTTCCTATGAAAAGATTTCTTGGGCCTGAGAGAAATTCCTTCTATCAGTGCTTTAAGACTTAGAACAAACATCCAATAAATGTGTGTTGAGTGGAATGGAATTCTGAACCTAATTTTTTTGAGGATCAACTCGTGTAGTTATCACTTTGGAGGTTCATCAGTTGCCATATCAATCGGGGGGAAAATCCAATTTCTATAGATTTACTGCTGTTTTCTAATCCTTACTCCCAAACACTCATTTTTCATACTCTTTTGACTATTATTCACATCTCCTAAATTATGGAGCTGAGATTAGAGTTGGAATCCATATACTGGAAATGTGAGTGTTGACATAGTGCTGTTAAAATAGCAAAGCAAGGGCACCTGGGTGGCTCAGTGGGCTAAGCCTCTGCCTTCGGGTCAGGTCATGATCTCAGGGTCCTGGGATTGAGCCATGCATAGGACTCTCTGCTCAGCAGGGAGTCTGCTTCTCCCCCTCTCTCTCTGCCTGCCTCTGCCTACTTGTGATCTGTCTGTCAAATAAATCAATAAAATCTTTAAAAAAAGAAAAAATAGCAAAGCAAGGCTATAACATCTTTCTATTGTTCATCTATAACCTTTGAACTATTCATACACTATCTTCAAGTACTGGGCAAGGAAAGGGCTATTACATAGGTGTGTTAAAATCTCAGTGATACATTATTTCAGGGTTTATACTTGGTATTGTTAGCAGAGACACGTCGCAGACTTGCTCACTTATTTCCAAACAGCAAGTTCAATTCCTAGTATTACTCATAAAGTGCGTGAAAGAATCTTAAAATTATAACCTAATCTACACAGATTATGTCTAGGAAAACCTAGAGGTCCAGAAAGATCCCACCTAGAGGAGTCCTACCAACATTCATTAACAAACTATCAACAAAACTATTCCTTCTAATTCTCCCCTTCACTAGGGCACTGAGTTATCTTCTGGCCAGTGCCATTGTGCCCTTGGATGGCACTGAGGGTACCCACAAGCCTATCATTTTCCTTGCATCTTCCTCACCCTATGTAAGGCCCATCACCTTCCCATTGCTGACATAATGGCCAAACACAGTGGGAAAAGATAAGGGACAGGGACAACTATTTTTCCTCTCTCCACAATGTCCACTCCCAAACTACCCTCCTTCCATGTTTTCTCCCAATCTTCTTGTATTTGTAACCGTGAAATCATTCTTTTTTCACAATGTCTTCTTCATTGTCATTAAAATGTCAGGGACCCTCTCTGGACTCCTAGAACTTCTCTCTTCCTCTTCTACATGTTTGTCTATTCTCATAGCTTTACTGACTATCTACACACGTGCTGACGATTCAAGATGTCTTATCTCTAACCCAATCTTCTTCATAAGCTCCAAACTCACATTCCCACTCAGCTTGCTACTGGGCGCCTCCAACTGAGGTCTCAAGGACACCACACGCTTGAAAATTCTACAACTAAACTCATCACCTTACCACCCCACTCCATTCTCATCGGTCTTCCAGGGAAGAAGCCTGGTTTACTCTGGGCTCCTCCATCTTTGTGTCCAGCATCCAATCAATTATTAAATCCTGTCAATTTTATTTCCTTCAAATTCATATGTACCAATTATCTCCACCCTCAGTATTACTCCTAGTTCACGTCACCACTAGAAGAGCTCCTTAAATTCCCTCCATGCCTCCAATATGGCTGCTCTTGAACTATATGGTATTCCTTCCACACAGAAGCCAAAATAATATATTCTACTTAAAATAGTTTAATGCTCCGGGGCGCCTGGGCGGCTCAGTTGGTTGGACATTCAACTCTTGATTTCACCTCAGGTCATGATCTCAGGGTCGTGAGATCAAGCCCTGCATCAGCAGGGAGTCTGCTTGGAATTCTCTCTCGTCCTCTCCTTTTGCCCCTCCCCGCCCCCACAATTTTTCTCACTCTCTCCCTCAAAAAGATAAATAAATTTTAAAAATAGTTAATGCCCCTCCCTGAATTACCATGATGATGAAACGCTCAACTTGTAACATGGCTTACAAGGACCCTCATGGCCTAGCCCCTGCTTATCTCTTGGATTTCACGTACTTCTTATGTTCTCTCTCGTTTTTGTGCTTGGGAGCATGTGCTCTTTCTGTCTAGAAGGCTGTCACCTCCTAACTACCCTCTTTCACTTACATTACTCCTCTGGGCCTCGGCTTACTTGCCATCTCTTCCAGGAAGTGCCTTCTCCGGTATCCCACCTCTCACCTATTCATCAGTGCACAGAGCTAGTTTGAGGAGTGCACCAGCTGAAGGTTTCCAAGGAGCTAAATCTATATGTGGAACTGAAAATAATCTCACTGGGCATGAAATGAAATGGAGAACGTATATTTCACAAAAATGATACTTACCACACTTTTGGTCTTATGGAGAGCGCCACACACCCTGGCCAACACCTGGGCAGCTGAACTGTGTTCTAAGAAGGACGGGCTCTGTTCATTGCAGGCTTTTGTTTTGCCAGTTGTAGAGCGCAATTTGGGACCTGGAGTTAGACTCTCCAGGATAACACAGGAGGGCTGAGACCCTCTACTAACTACCTCACCTTCTCTAACTTTTCCACATGTGCTCCATGTCCTCAAAAAAAAAAAAAAAAAAAAAAAGAGCCCAACGAGTAAATCTGACTAAGTGCAGGTCTCCTCCTGTCCTCCCCACTGCTTCCCACTAACAGAGCAACTGCTCCTTGCTGTGACTTCCTGTTTCCCTGTTTGTCTTCACAACTGGGCCGTGAGGCCAAGGACTGAGCACTGAATGTAGTTCTTCCACCTATCTTCCTCCCTATGACTTAACAGACAAAAACAGTGCAATTCAGAAAGATGGGGTAAGGTGCCTCAAATCAGACAGCATCTAGATGGGTATGGAAGCCAATCTGGTTTCAGAGTTCATGGGAATGCTCAGCATCTATGCTGTCCCCTGAATAGCTTCTACCCACTCAAAATTGGAAAATAGAATTAAAACGGGCCATAAGATGATAAAATTGGTATTTACTTCTTACCTCTTCAATTCTACCACTGCCTCTGTACCTGTTCATTAAGATCTTAGCTCCCAGTGCATTTCATGAGGACACTAAAGGACAGTACACACATGCTAAAGAGAATGTGAGATTTTACTCATGGTATTTATTGACGTATTAACAAGAAACCAATGAGGAATGGAGGGAGCTAGACTTTAGTTTTTAAATCCCTGGTGAATGCCTGTTAGACCAGTGCATCAATGGGAAATAAAGGTGGTATCTGAAGTCAAGCTCTGAAACACTCACTTCTCTCGGTGATCTTGAGCCCCCTTCTCGAAATGTTGGTTTACATCTGAAATTAATCTGTCATTTAAAAAGAAAAGTATATTACATTAGGGATAAGCACCAGACTATACTGACTTACTTGAACAAAGCAACAGTGACACATATGGAGACTACAAAACAAAACCCCCAAAGAACAAGGAACACAGTATAACTCTTAAAATCATCACCCTAGATAATCTATAGAGACCCCAGGTGATCCTGTATCTCCAATGCATTTCTCTACATTCTCATTGATGAAATCAACTTATCTCTAAATAATAACCCTCTTATACTGTAAATTTGAGAAAAGGAGATAGAGAGGAAGAGAAACTATGTAAGGCAGCTGAAATCACGGAGCTTTGTTTCAGATTTTAAAAGCAGGACAACATCACTTGAGGAATATTTAATGTGATGATGATAATTCATACACAGAAATTTTCTTTAAGTCTTCAGTACTGCCTTTCTTTTACACACAGGCAGGTCTCCCGGTAACACATGCATCTTCTTTAGTTACTTGATAAGGTGAAAGGAATATAGAGATGAAGGAGGACATAGTAAATGGGGTTGGAACAGCAAAAAGAAAAAAAAATATATATGTATATATATATACACATATACATATAAACGTTAGTAGTCATCCCTACAAAACAGCAGTTGGCAACAATCGGTAACATGGTCATTAAAACAATGAATGTTGCAGGGAATGAAAATATTTCAACACACAGCAGCTCAAAAACGTAGGTAACAGAGATTCACGTATAGAAAGAGGGGAGAGGAAGAAAGAGAAGACGGCAGACAACACATTCACGCCTGGAGCCTCTCCTTTCCCACAAATGACTGATCAACGGACTCTGCAGAATCTACTTCTTCGGGAGGCAAGACAGCACGGGGATGTCACCCCCAGCCCACCCACACATTTGTGCTGTACCAGTGGAACACTGCCCCAAGGAAGGAAGGAGAGCTGCCTTCTGGTCTGACTCTCTTCTTTGCCTCCACTTTAGGAAGAGGAAACTCACAAACGTCAGGCGGATCTAAACAATGATTTCAAAGAGCTTATTTTTCTTAAGGAAAGAAAAAAATCTTGTGGGAAATTCTATGGGTGAATAACAATGTTTGTCATTGTAAAAAAAATAATAATAATTCTTGTGTACCAGGCTTTTCTCTCTAGCCTGGTAACAAGGCTGGTCTTCCAGTGTTTGAAAAGGGCACAGTTTTGAAAAAGTTGGAAATAAGAAGTGACAGCTGGTCTTAGAAGGCCAAACACCTGCAATGTAGCCACCACTGCAGCAGGTGGCGCTGTCTCACCTTTTCTAGCTGTTCAATGCAGGCGGTGTGGACGACGATCTTACAGACCGCACACTTCCTCCTCAGGGCCGATTTCTACAACATTCAATTCAAAATACAAGAGGAAATGTTAACAGTCTGCTCTGGAAAGTTCCCTGGCATTAAAGAGAGTATACATAATGAAAGCAAACATAAGCAAATGTAGAACATGAAAATATGGCGAACTTGAGTCTTTTGACCCACCCCTTGCCTCTGTATCTCCATGACCTAGGGTGGCTAGATTTTTCTCCAAAATATAATACTTATAATAGCTGCTATATATTGAGCATATAATATGAACCAGGCTCCTTATTCTATCGTTCTAAAGTTTTATAACCTAACAACGTAGGCACTAGTAGCCTCCATTTTTATGGGTTTCTTGGCTTGTTTTCGTCTTTTTACATTTTTACGCAGTAGTTAAGCAGCAGAACCAACCTGCAGAATTAGGTCTAAGCTCAAGAGCCAACATCCCAAGGGACCAATCGCTTTAGGCTTCTATCCCAGGCACGAATCTCTACAAAGCTACTTGGGTCTTCCCCCGAGTCATCAGCAAAGTAGTAAGACGTGCCTAACTCTTCCACCTGGTAATAACAATAAACAGTAAAAAATAGCAGCAGGAGCTGCTAACATGAATGCAGGACTCGCTGGGAGTCAGGCACTCGGAAGCACTTCACAAACAGGAACTCATTTAACCTTCGACAATGCCAAGACATCAGTAGTACTTTTATTCCCATTTCACAGATAAGAAAGCTGTGGCCCAGAATGCAATGGGTGTGAGGTCTCATAATGAGGACCCAGCAGAGCAGGGGAGCCCAGGTCAGAACTCATGCTTGTCTGCATGACCCAATTTGGCCTCTTGGACGGTCGGTACCAGTTTCGATGCACAATAAATTACTTTGAGGTGCATACTTCCTCAAACAATTAAAAAAAAAAAAAAACAAGCAGTAGGGTGGGAAAGGAACAGGTGCAATTTCGATCGTGCCGGGGCCATGTAAAATCCACGCAAAAATACCGGGGCCTCCCCACAAAGCCCAGGCTAGAAGGCAGGTCCACATGAGTAACTGGGGTTTGAGCACGGAAAGCGGCTTAATATAACAAAGCTAATCTGTGAAACGGGGACTCAAAGCATCCAAGTGTGAAAAGCCTCTAGTCCTTATTCTTAGGAAAGGTGCTGGGAGAGATTGCTGGCAAATTGCCCTCTTCTGATGTGTGGCTTCCCCTGCGGAGATATAATTTTTGAGCCAAGAATTGAGGCATTGCTGCTAACAAGTAAGTTTAGAAGGACTGCAAGCCACCCCCTTGGAAGCAGCGGTATCAGGAACGCGGCAGCCACAGCCTGCTCCCTCCCAGACGGTTCCATACGTTCAACATGAGTTATGCACATTCTTCTCTGCCTCCCACGAGGCACCCAGAACCCTCCAGCAACTCCACTTGCAGTCTAGACACCTGCTGACTGGGGTTTAGTTACCGCCTTGCAGACAGCTCTCCTCTGCCCGAGGAAAGAACATGGTCTGGAACATTGCAAAAGTTTGACAATCAATTGATTTTGCAAAGAACAAAGAAAAACAGAAACCCAAGCGTCTAGCCACACTACTGGAAAGTGTCTCAGCTCTACTACTGAAAAGACAGGAGTGGGGGGAGGAAGGGGGGGGCGAGGAACAAGGAGAAACAGTAGTAGAAGCAGCGGCAGCTCTCAGGGCAAGGGTAACAGTATTCTAGTTTGCAAATTTTCACGAGCACAATGCCCATAAGCAAATTCAGGTTACTCTCCCATTTCCTTCGGACGTTCTGGTAGAGATTGTGGAGGTAGCACCACCTGCAGAAAATGCATGGGGCATTTGAGTCACGTGGCCAATCACAGTTGCAGTGATGCTAAGGAAACTGCAGTGGGTTCCAGGCTACTCCTAATCCACAAAAGCCCTGGTAGATTCCACGGCAAACAAAGCAATTGCGCTCACAGTAGGCAACTACTGACGGGCTAGGATTTCTAAGCGCACCAGACACGCCTCCTTCCTTATCAGTAATTCCCTGCTCCAGTCTGGCTTTGCACCTGCAGAGCTCCACCGACCCTGTGAGGACCCTGTGAGGCATCTCAGACCAAACGGACGGTTGTAGGAAGAGTACCACGTAGGTGCAGGCACCCGGAATGCCTTTTCCTTGCCGTATTTTGAATCCCACGATTCTAAGTCAGAATCTCTTTTGAACAAGGGAACTGGGCTCCTGGTAAGAGTTGGAGAACCACAGGGTTAAGACATGTTATCGCTCAGCTTTTCCAGACAGCATGTAAAATAGACCAACATCATTCACAGGGAATAATTAAAGTTCAATGTTCTCCAGATGATAACGTATGAAGCAGAATGCTTTAGGTTATAAAACCAACTTTATTTAAATAATATTAAATTATAAAAGACCCCTATAACATACATGTATTCGTGCCTTTAGAGCTGGTATATATAGACTATAATCTGAATTTTTCTTCGTAAACACTGGAACATGATGAATTTTACCATGAAGAACAGTTATTTTGGGGGCGCCTGGGTGGCTCAGTGGGTTAAAGCCTCTGCTTTCGGCTTGGATCATGATCCCAGGATCCTGGGATCAAGCCCCGCATCGGGCTCTCTGCTCCTCAGAGGGTCTGCTTCCTCCTCTCTCTCTGCCTGCCTCCCTGCCTACTTGTGATCTCTCTCTCTGTCAAATGAATAAATAAAATCTTTAAAAAAAAAGAAAAAAAAAACAAAAAACAAAAACCAGTTATTTTGGTTTTCTGTCTTTCTAACTAACAGACTACATATCCTTTCAGTGTTGTTGTGCCTGTCTTTATCTTCAATTTCTTCAGTGACTGCTTCTAAACAGTTTATAAGCTAAGAAATCCAGTAATTCAGGTTTATGATCATATGCAAAATTAAGCAAATCCTGAATGAAGGTGTTTTTCCATAGTAATCAAATACATGATTTCACTTCCTCAACTGATAAAAACTGTTCCAGTGAATCTCAAGTTTTAACTGCTGACTTCTCGGCTTATGACTATGTTTCAATTGGTCAAAGTTATTCAAAATCATTGAAGGATAAGCTTCTGAGAAGAAATTGCCAAAACAAAGGATTTTTGTGCTTGGTAATGTTACAATTTTTATTTGCACGATTTAAACTAAATATAAAGCTAAAATATCAGACTCAGACTGTATTTACTTTTTCTTAAAAAAAAAAAAGACTGAACTCTTATTTAAACCGATGCTTCCTTCACTCTGAAAAGTGATGAATCAAAAAATCATTAAAACCACGTATGTTTACAAATTAAAATATGAAAATTTTAAAACCTCACTCCCTTCAATCAATTTAAAGGCCAATTAGACTTACTGCTTTAAATGTCAAGTAAAGTAACTTCCATGCTCTTACTAGGGGTTTTCTGATTTTGTCAGTATTCAAAGGAAATCCATTAGCTTGTAATTTGTGTGTGTATGTGTAACATCTATGAAAACGAAGACAACATAGGTTATAATACAGATTATATCCTATCACACCAGGATCAACATTTATTTGTATAAAAACAACACAAAATGATATGCTGTACTTCTAGTCAGTGGGGATAATCCCACTGTTAGCAGACTAAAAGTGATCATAAAAGAAAGCATTCTAAGCTCTGACTCTGCCCTCTGCAGCAGGCACTCTGGCATTCAAAGCAGTAACAGCTCCTCCCCAACTTCGGCTCCTATCAAGCACAGAAGTAAAATTATCACAGCCTTAGACCACTGGAGCTGGGGCTGGGACAGAAGGATCCAAGGCAAGCAGGGGGCAGAAAGTGTGTCATTGTTCCTGACAATGAAGTTAACATCTAATCCCCTCCTTCTCACCCACCAGCCCTGGTCATAAGTCCTGGACCCATATGTACCCAGGAAAGCTGTATTTTCTTCCTCTGAGCCAGAGATGTGATTTTCCCAAAGCAGCAATGAATATCTGGTGGTAGTTAACAGGGTTTGATAAAGAAGAAAGGGGACGGAGGGAGGAGGGAAGAGGAGGGAAGGGAAGCAAGACCCAGCTGCACAGGCCTGTGATTTGTAAAAAGGCTGGGGCTTCTTAGTGTCCAAGGCAATTGAATTGTTACCCATAGTGGTCTGAACTTCGACCCCCAAGAAGCGTGTATAACAAGGCCAGCTGTGTCCCTTCCCAATAAGACATATATCAAACCTTACTACTCCCTGAAGATGTAGCAAATTACCTTCCCTGCTGACCTTCTCTCTCTCCTGCTGTGTAATTAAGGATACACCCCTCACCCTCGCCCCCACAGACATCCACAGGTTTAACCACCAGAGATCAGAAGTCGAGAAGTAGGAGGAAATACTCAAGAATCTTTCCAGGCCGCATGGCAGCCCTTTCTCAGTCTCCCTGCTTCAGAAGAACATAAGACCAGAGCCTGCTGCTGGCCAAACACAGTTTGGGCTCGCAGCACCTCTCCCCAGAGCTCCCAGGCTTGGCCTCACAGACTTAATGCAAGGAATCACTGCTTACATTAGCTCGGTCTGTGCAATGAGGCCACAGTGATAAAAGGATGAATGGCCAGGGAAGGGTTCCTCTGGATGGGAACCCATTCATACTGGGAGACGGGAAGGAGGGAGAGAAGGTACTCTGGGGAAGGGAGCTGATGGGGCACAGAGACAGAAAAAGATCAGGGTGGGGATGGGGCTGGGTGAATGGGCATCAAGTTCTGGCCTAGCTGTCTTCTTCCTAGTGACTGATCCCAGATCCAAAGAGTCATGCCGAGGAAGAGAAACTAAGGAAGGGTTGGGAATTGGGCAAAGGGGAAAGAGCAAGTAAGGCAAGAATTCTCACTCCCTTTCAGACACAGAACTCAGTCTACGGGGCACTCTGGTTGTGGGGGAGGCCCGGGAGAGGCAAGAGGGTACAGGTAAAGCCATCCTTTTTTCTTCTCCAAGGGTGGGAGAACAGAATGTTCAGTAAAGATGAGAGGAGGAATGCTCCTAAGCCTTCAGAGTGTCAGGAATTCAGTGTCCTTTCAGTGGGGACTGGCTCTATGGGCAACGTGAACATGAACACTGTTGCAG